CAAAAAAAAAAAAAAAATCCTTTAAAACAAACAAAACAAAACAAAATACTTTTTGGAAATCAGTGCATATACAGTTGCTTCTTTTTAATAGTCCCATAGTCGTTTATTGTAGGGATCAATCAATGTGCCGTTATCAGACTTGCAGGATTTTATAGTCGTTTGTTATTACAAAGAGTATCTTTGTAGATTCACTTTTTGTTCTTCAGGGAGGACATCTATAGGACATACTCTTAGAAGTAGAATCCCTGGATACATGGGTTGGGGCATTTAAATTTTGATAGTATTGTAAAACTCCTCTTCAAAGATATCTTATCAATTCATACTTTCATCATCAGGATAGCAAGGTTTGATTTGAGTTTTGATGAATGAGTAGGAGTTTACCAAGCAGATAGAAGAACAAAAAGCATGCTCAAAAGGCAAGACTGATATAAGGAACAGCAAGCAACTCAGGCATCTAGGCTGTGGGCTGGAGACCAATTAGGAGGCAAAAGACCAAAAGAGGAGGGCCGGTAGAAGGATGATTAATAATTACTCTTATCTATTGAGAATTTATTATTTTTGGCAGGCATTCTGCTAAACATTATGTCCTATCTATCATTTAATCCTTCCAACAAAGAAAGAAATATTCCCAGTTTATAGGGAAGGAAACTGAGGCTCAGATGTTACCTGTTCAAGGTCACACAGTTTGGAAGGGACAGAACTGGAATCTGTATCTGGCTTCTGACTCCCAAGGCCTACTTTTTTTTTTTTTTTTTGAGACAGAGTTTCACTATGTTGCCCTTGGTAGAGTGCTGTGGCCTCATAACTCACAGCAACCTCAAACTCTTGCATCAGCCTCCCAAGTAGCTAGGACTACAGGTGCCCACCACAATGTGCGGCTATTTTTTTGTTGTAGTTGTCATTGTTGTTTAGCAGGCCCAAGCTGGTTCAAACCTATCAGCCCTGGTGTATGTAGCCTGCACCCTAACCACTGAGCAATGGGCGCTGAGCCATCAAGGCCCACTTCTTAACCATAGCTGCACAGGGCCTTGAAAGAAGGGAGGGGGCAAGGCTTTAGGGCTATTCACTATGGGGGCGGGAGAGAAATTTGAAGGAAACTAGAAGATAGTGATGCATGAGGCCTAGAGAGCCCTGACCTTGCTGGAATGTGCTCATGACTTGCCAACTTAGCGGCCAAGACTCTGGGGCTTATTGGCAATATAAAGATTGCCTCTTTCATTTCTGGCAGGGCTGAGTTAAAGGGCAAATATACAAGATCTTTTCCTTTCATTGCTGAGCAATAACTGTCCCTGGAATGACAGTTCAAAGGCCTTGGAAATAAACAAAGAAACAAAAAACAACCAAATAATTTTTCATCTCTTCCTCCTTTCTCGTTCACTTCTGTCAATAGGAGGCATTATATATACTTCAGCTCCTAGGAGATAGGTTTTGAAGAGCTATAGTTTCCAAAAGCCATTCATAGTCAATTGTTCCTTAAGAGAACTGAAATGTAAAATATTCATCCATTTTCTGCCTTCAGTATCAATTATGAAATTTGAGTGAAAAAACAAACAGAAAATCTTGAGCTGTTTTGAAAGGATCACAGTGAATCTCTGGGAACAGATTTTAATCTCAGATGCACAGTGCTGGTATAGCTAAAAAAACCTTCGGCTTATTGCTATGGTTCTGTAAAATCAGACTACTTAGTAGCTTT